GAGAAAAAGTGCCAATTTCCCACTGCCACGTATTGTGCATTGCAGGAGTACACTGCCTGAAAGTCTAGAGAAATTAGGCTGTGATCACTTATACCCGAGGAAGCAGAAGTCCTGGGACTTTTGAAAATGGGAGAAGGTTTTGGTTTAGCATCTCTGTTGTTGCAGCAGCCATACAAAGTAGCCATGGAATGATGACTGACATGACACCAGCAAAAACGTTTTTATCTCTTTGTGGATGTCTCTGTCAGACGGGACAAATTTCATGCAGATTCATAGCAGGTATCTTAAACAGGATTTATAAATTTGTGTGTCATAGAAAGGAGGCAGCACATTAAAAAGAAACCCAACAAACAACCAACAAAAAACCCGCTACTGTATACAGGATTTATTCAAGGGTGGAATACTGGGAAACCTGCCCAAGATAGATAAGGAGCAGCCACATCTCTTGAACGTGTTAGGATTTCTAAGGCATGTTCTTGACTACTCAGGAAAATACATCAGTTTTACTTGTGAGGATATGATGTGAAGTGAAGGTATTAGCCCTACATATATTTAGAAACATGTATTTTCCTAAGATTTTCTTAGGGTAAGGGACTAGGGTATATTAGAAATTTTGCCAAGAATGGATAAGATATTTGTTTTTCCCTTCTCGTCTTTCTTACTCCCCCACCCATGGCCAGTGTTGCACACCAAAAGATTTTGTGGTAGAGTCCTTGGCATTTTTTCACCTTTATGCTTGTTAGAAATGTTCTGTTTAATATCAGTAGAGGAAAGATCTATATAATATTTTAATTAACTATAAAACTTCAGAGTATGTAGGTGCATGCGTGATATATTTGAAGTTGTAGAAAAGCTGTTTGCAGCCTGCATTCTTTCATGTGCCCATGTTAACTGTTTTTGATGGGAAGGGAAAAAAAGTTTTTCCTCTCTATTTGGGACTATAACTTCTCCAGACCTGTGATGTATTTTGAGGTTAACAAGAACTTTAATTTGCAGACGAGACTGTGTTAAAGCAAGGGCTCTGTGACATTCATTGTGCTCTCGATGCAGAGTTGCTGCAAGTCTGACAAGTAACAAATTTGATACATGCAAATTTCTTTCAGTGAATTTTTTCTGTAACACTTATGTTCTGTTCTCCTGAAAGTACTGAAAAGAAGGGAATTGAAGGTAGCCTCAAACCACCACTGTGAATGAAGATGTAAAAAGAAGTATTCATAGCTGAAAGGTAGATTTGCAGCTTTGTATTTTGCATAATATTTACAGGAGTGTGTACTTGTACTTGTGTGTACTCATTCAGGTGCATGTTAAACTGCACATAACTCAAAATCTTCTTCCCAGCTCCCAAGGTGTACTGTTAACACTGATACAAATAATTCAGTGTTAATATGGGCACGCTTTGACTGATGATAAAGAAAAAATATTTGATATTTTAAAATATTAAAATAAAGGTCTTTAAAATTACGATTAGTTGAGTAAATCTGTCCTGTAGTAATGCTAGATGGTTGGGGTTTTTAATTGCAGCATCCTGTCATTTTTCTACAAGGGGTGGGTTGGTTTTTTTTCCTGTTATAAGGGAATTCAAGCCTATGTTTGATTGAATAGCAGCTTTTCTTTTAGAATTAGTGGTGTGGTTGTGTTGTAGTTGGGATTTTGGTGGGTTTCCCCCCCTATTTTATTTGTAAATTGCATATTTCAGTCACTCCTATAAGTTCCACTCCTGTAAGTTCCTTCATTGCTGAGGGAAACGAATCATATGCTTAGCCATAAGTAGTGGCTCTTGCTTGTGTTTGAGGAAGCTGCTACCTTGAATGTCACATTTTAGTGAACCTGTCACATAGTACATTCCTTAGGTCTTATGTGAAGTATGTTTTTCTGAAGTTTTGGAGATTTTTTTTTTTAGTCTTAGTTTAGGCAGTTTATTGGTTGGAGAAACAGACATATGGTTCAAAGCTGTTAGAGAAACACATGATAGCAGGCTGACAAATCTGAGTGCTTATTCTGTGTGTTACTATTGTTTGATGGGATGATTTGGGTACTAGTTAAGTAAAATTCCTGCTTTTATCACATCAGTCTTCTGAGACCCTAAGGATGTTTAATGGATACACATTATATTCTGGATTTCCAAAGACCTCAGACTAGGCATCTTCCTGTCTTTGAAACCTTTAGAATAAATGAAAAAAATAATTAATAAGACAGTTTTGCTGAACTCCACCTAAAAAAACCTGCTTGCTTTCTAAGGCTGAATTTGTCATGCCACAAAATGTGAATGGCTGAAACACTATTCATAGACAAGTATTTCCGTCCCAGGATAACTCCAGGATCACTCCACTCCACTGCTCTGAGGAAAGAAGCTGAGAGCAGATTCTGTTCTCTGGATATGAAGAGTTAAGGCAAAAGAATATCAGGTTATTTGTCTTGTAGAAATTGTGACTTCCAGCTGCTGATAGCTTATGGATGCCAAGACTTATTTTTCTAATGCATTTGCCAGAAAAATGGTTTAAAATGGCACCCTAAGGTACATGCTTTATCAGTTTTTTCTTGTTTGCTTAGTGCAAATTATTTTTATTCTTAAACCTCAGGTGATTTCCTCAGAACTGAAGTGTAAGCAATTTCAGGGCATGTCATTAGAGTAATGGAAGATCCCAAAGAAAATGCCAAGTTTCATAGGATGCTGTTCTTATGGGAAGTTGGTTCTTATGCCTATGCCATGGTGACTGTCCAGGGCTGGAGAGAAAAGGACTGCTATACTTTGGTGGTGGTTCTTTTGGGACAACTGATGTGGAGGAACAAAGTTGAGCTGCTAAAGAACCTGAACCAAAAAGACAGGACTGTAAGGTCAACAAATCAGCATACTCCTTTTCTGGCTTCAGTGTCCCATGTAGGGATCCATGAGCTGCTTTCTTCCAAGTGCCTGGATACAAGAGGTCAACTGCTCTGCAGTTTACCACAGTTTTTCTTTTTAGACTGAGTATGGTTACAAAGGTAAGACTTAGATTCTAGCAGTGACATGTGATTGAAAAGTAGCTGACTGATGCTTAGAGCGCATAAGACAGATGTTATGTTGCTAGGGGAAAAAAAAAAACGTTCAAAGAACTGATCATGGTCTTGGTCTTTAAGTTAATAGAAAATGATTCTCTACTAGTTTTTAAAGTAATGTGATACTTCAGATGCCTGCGACACTGCTGTGTGTGGCTGTGTAAATAGTGTCCCTCTGGCAGCTTGCTCTACTTGGTTCTGAAGTAGACAGCTGTTCAGAAAGACTGGGGCATCTAACAGATGCTATAAAATTTCTTTACAAGTACAGTTGACAGATATGTGTATGCTACAGAAACATAGAATTAGCTTTCAATGCAGTCCCTCTTCTGTATATATAATATTAATCTTCAGATCCTGATGATTAAATAAATAAAACATCTGTCCTGTTTGGCATTTTTATTTTGAGTCTGGTTAAATTAACAGAGAGATTAAGCAAGGTCTTGATTAAGTCCTGTGCCTGTTCACATTTAAGTAGTCAGCTCTGTAGATCTTTTGCAGAAAAAAAATTATTAGGTATGACTTCAGTATTCTCTGTAGGAAAGAGTGTGTGTGCTTTTGTGTTGACAGCTTGTGCTGGGTGCAGATACAGAAACAAAGTGTTCAGGGTTCCAGTGTGACTAGTAAAAAGACAAGAGTCACTCTATTAGGTAAGATTTGAATACTCTTGAGTTGCATATGTAAGTTTCCTGGAGAAAATTTTTATTTCTTCCTTCACTTGTATTTAGTGAGTGTCTTTTTTGTTGCACAATGTGTAAATTAAGTTAATATTTTAAGTATTGTATTAATGTTACAATCATTATGTTACATTAAAATCTCATTATGTTTCTCAGAAATTTTGTGCCATTTTGTTTCACTGAAAAGTGGAATTTCATTATTTCAAGCTCTTGGTTCTTGTGTATATATGGAAGTTCACTTCTCCCTGTCTCAAAATAAGAAAAGTGTCTATAAAAGGTACCTTCTGCACATTTCTGCAAGTCATTGTCTGGCAGACATGTCAAGTTTTCTACTAGACTGTTGCTGCCGCTGTTCACTGTTTAGTGTTTGTCCCCATGAGTGTAGTGCCAGATCCAGACATACAAAGAATAGCCCATATCCAAATCATAGTTTAGATAGTTTGACAGCTGTCAAATACAATTTTTTTTTTCCTACCTCATTGCTACAACATATGCTGCTCTCCAGGGGAGACAAAAGCTTTCTGTTGATAACCTTAGTGCTTGGCTTCTGTTGAGATGGCTGAGTGCTGCTGAACTGTGTCCTAAAAACTACTGTGGCATATAAGCCTATACAGTCACTCATGTGTCTGTGTTGGGCTCTTCCAGAATCCTTAGTGTGGTTGACAGAGCAAAAGTAGATGAACTGAATGCCTTTGCATTCACCCTAGCTCCTCATTCACTGTTCAACTCACTATTGTATCATCATTCTCCTCATTAAATATCTAATTACTTTAATAGGCTTTCCTGACATGCCAATTTTTTTCCCCAATTATGAAGTGGATGCCTGATGGTTTGGAGATGAACTGGAAGACCTTATCAGAAATGAGCAACTGCCATGACAGAAGCTGCAGGTTTATGACAAGGAGCTGCAGGGCAAAGTGAAAAAGAATGGGTAAAGGTTTAGGTATTAGTGCCAAGATATTCCAGTGAGAAGGTAAAGGATTAGGCTGTGTGGTACTGTCAGCATGGTACTTCTGCCAGTACTCATTAACAGAGCAGAAGCTTTAATGGAAGAAAGCTGCATTGAGTCAACTTCCTTCCTTATTTAAACAATGTTGATTTGACATTGGTGTGTGTGTATGTTGGATTTTTGAATACCTTTTTTTTCTTTTTATTCTTTTAATGATGGTTAAGAGAGAAAATTTAGTTAATTATTTTGATCATTCTAAGTAGATGGTTTATTTTCACTTACAAGTGTTACATTTGTTAAGCTATTCTTGTTTTAATTAGTTCTCATTATTGTCTTGAAAGGAGCTGATAATATCAGGAAATACTGGAGTCGCTACTACCAAGGATCCCAAGGGGTAATATTTGTACTAGACAGCGCCTCCTCTGAAGATGATCTAGAAACTGCTAGGAATGAGCTGCATTCTGCTCTTCAGCACCCACAGTTATGTACTTTGCCGTTTTTAATACTGGCCAATCACCAAGACAAGCCAGCAGCTCGCTCAGTACAAGAGGTATGTTAATGTGTCAGCTTCTTGCCTGTTTGTATTTACTTTCTGCACACCACTGATCCCCTATTACTTATTACCCTGACATCCTGGTTAAGGACTGGCCTCAGTTTCTTCTTTACTGTAAGTATGCAGACCAGGAGGAATCCCAATCCCTAAAAACTTAGTCCACTGCACTCTATACAGACTTAGCTGTTCTGGAAAACAGACAAGTAATACTTGGATACAAACAGATCTTCTGCTTTCACCATATTTTGCTTAAGGGAGGAAAGATGTTTTTAAAACTACTCTTATGAAAAGCTGCTGGGACAGTGATTTTTTTTTGTTTAACTTGGGTTTTTATTTGGTATTAGTTTTAATTTTGCACTGTTCCATTACTCCATTCTTTTCCACTGCTTAAAGCAATACATTGTGGCCATAGGTTGTCTTTTTTATGTAAAAGCTTTTTTCTGAACTGCTGTGTACCGATTTGAGGTCAGAGTTGCAATTCCTGTTCTGAAGTCCTGAACTGGTTCTCATCTTCCTGTTCCAAGGAGTAATGTTTTTGTCTAATTTCTAGCTATCACACAGTAAATTATGTAATTGTTCTATTCAGTGTACCTTTTGCTCTTCAGTTTCTGAGAAATTTGTCTTGTCTACATTCCTATTATGTCAGATACATTTGAGGAAATGCTGAAAATTACTTCTGAAATTGTAGTAAGAAGTTGAAATTGGGTTGTGTCATTCTGTTCATAAATGTCATTTAAAGGACTCCTCCTTTTAAAGATTATATGAGAAATCTGTTTGTTCTGTGAGTGTGGCAGAGTGAAAACTGTTTCAGCACCTTACTGTGTTTCTGCTTTTAAACTGATTTAAACTGGTTCTTTCTTAGATTTTTCTTTTTCTGAAATATGAAGTTTTAGACTTTCAGCTCCAAACAAACTGATCTGTAGAATAGCTGCTCTTAGTACAGTATAGTTGAACATACAGCCTTTGTTTCTTTACTGCTACGTATGTCTCCTTTCTGAGTCAAAAGAAATGAAGCTTATTATATGTTAGAAAATGGTGTAAATGTGAGTGGAGTACAGCAGTGTTTTTAAGAAGAGATTGTGACAGCTTTGTAAACTATACTGTAAAATATTTTTTACAATTGTTGGTCCTTTTCTCCGAAAATTCATTCTTAGGAAAAAGGAAAAAAAACCCCAGAATTTGGATTGAAAATATGAAGTTACATAAAAAAGTAAACAAAAGTTATACAGGGATAGAACCTACCAGTTCTAGGTCTTTTTCATAGAAAAAAACAGACTTAGGAAAAAGTAATGAATACTTAAAGGAAATGTAATATGGATTTTGATATGTAAGTTTAGTAATGGACTAGTTTATTATACAGCATAAAAGCAAATTTGGTCTAGTTTATTATACAGCATAAAAGCAAAAACCTCCCACTTAAAAATTAAAATAGCCTGAAACAAAACTGATTGGATTTTATCATCCAAATATAATCTATATGCCTTGGCTTTAACTTTTTCATATAGCAATACAGATCACATTTTTCATCATCAAAAGGGCTGTTTCTTGTATAATTTAAGTATTTCTAATTTTACTATATTTTTCATTTTTAAAGTGGCTAAATTTGGTTCAATATTAAGTGAAGTTTTTGATAGCAAATAAAATTTAAGAAATATTCTTTGCCCAATTTCATATTAATAATGAATGCAATGCCAGTTGGTTTGCTTTACAGCAAATTATATTTGTAGCTCTCTTATTTTTCAGATGGGCCCATGTGGGTAGACTTTTGGGCCTGAACTGAATTTTTTGTGTATTTCAAGTTAACGTTTCTTTTCTTTTATTGGCAGTACTCTCCTTTTCACTTCATTCTTACAATAGCATTTAAATGGGTTTCTACTGCATGCTTTAAAAGAAAACAAAACATATGGTTTATTATGTTAGCAGACAAGTCTTGATTGCTAATGTATGAGTACAACAGAATGTGTGCAGAATACAACAGTTTTCTTAAATGTGCACAGTACATGCATATTCTCAGGTCAAAACGCACACTGTATCAAGAGCTCAGTGATTTTGAAGTTCTTTAATTAAGAGCAGTGGAAAGTGAAATTAAAAGAAAAAGAAAAAAAGGAGAAAAAAAAGAGAGAGAAATGTCACAAAGTTGTTACATTGTCCCTGAAAAAACAATGATCTGTGTTTCCTGTGTATACAAAGTAGAAGCCTTTGGTAATTTTACCAATGTTGAAATGGTAATTTCTTGCTTTCCTAAAGGCTTTGTTGTGCTATTTTCCTCATTATTGAGATGTGGAATAGAAGTAAAATGATGAATTGCAAGACCATTGCTCACATAAAACCAGCATATTAAAGTATGTAACAAATGTAATATGTTGAGCATTGAGAGTTTTATTAGAAATTTTTGCAGAACTAAGTCCATTAATTATAGGTATTTTCTTGATTTTTTTCATGTGTTAGAAGACAGATGAATCAGTTGAAATTTAAAAATGTGTATGCATTTTTTTAGGCAACAAATTGCCTTTCTTTAATGGATATGAAAGGACTCCTTGGAGTATAATTAAGGAAAATGTCTGAGTTGAGTGGTGCATAATAGGAAATGTAGAAAAATATTTATCTACAACAAAAATTCTTCACAAAACTGTGCAAGTGCCAAGCAGTTTCTGCAACAGATGTTAGTTATATTTTTTGTTGGGAAGTGCAGTTGCTTCAGTTTTTCACAATGTTGTACTTATTAAATGTGGTTTTTTCCATACATTGCTTGGGTAGAAATGATACTGTAGAATCTACGTGCTGTGAGTAATAAGCAATGTAATGAATAGTTCGATTCACAGCTATAATAGATCCTTGCAAAAATGTCCAAATAACTTATTTAATTTATGAAATGTAATTTAACCTAATCCATTTTGCAGAATATAGTTCATATTACTGAAGTGATCAGGGAAAATTACAGGAGAAGTCAAGCTGAAATACTGATCAATAAATGTAGTCCTTTTTTTCCCTGAATTCTGTTGCTGGTTAGCTGTTTTCTAGTTAAATTTTGATTTTTAAATGAACTTAAGAAAGTAAACTTGGCATGGCATTTCATTTCAGAAACTATAAATAAAGATGTCCCTCATATTTCTCTTATTTAGACTTCTATGGTGGTTATTCTGTCTTCCCATGTCAAAGATATTTGTAAATTGTTTTCTTTTTCCTGTGACAATAGCACTTATTTAGATGTATTTAAATATCTGCTAAGTGATTTCTACTGAGCCATGCTGAAATACAGACTGCATATATTAACCAGGCTGTAAAACTGATACAATTGTTTTTGTGTTAATAGGTTTGCTCCAGAATAATTTTATTTTAGATTAAAATTACGGTAACAAAGAATTAATCATATATAAGTCAGTTCTGTCTGTAGTTTTAGAAAACTTATGAAACAGCAAATAAAAAATTTTACAAATGAAAAATAAATTTAGTTACTCAGCATATGAGGGGAGGTGGTGGCATATCAGTTTGGCTATGGCTTCCAAAATACAGGCTGCAGTTCCAAAACAGTTTATCTAATTATATGTTTTTTAAATAAGTATCTTCCTGACAGAATGTGCTTTTACTTTTCCACAAAAAAGTACTTTTGATTGTTGAAACTGGTTTTGATTAGTCATATTTCTCTTACAGGCTTAAAATATTGCAGGAGAGTAGTATGATAAAAGTGCTTCAAATTGCTTTAAAAGGGAACAGGAATTACTGTGATTATCAACTTTGTAATTTTTGTTTTGTAATGTCTACTACTTTGTGTATGAGTATCAGACGCTGAGTATTGCAGTGTATTCTTGTGAGTTGAACCAGTTTGCAGTTTTCTCCCGGGTCACAGCAATATTTAGGAGCTGCATGTATTGGAAGTTGTCCATAGCCACTATATTTTAGGAGCAGCCTATTCTGGATGCTTGTCTGAATCTGTTTCGTACTCCTGGAAGCCACATAGGACTGGCCAAAGGAGGAACCAAACTGAACTAATTTTTCCAAACTTGATGAAGCAAGTTCTTGCTTGGCAGTGTGTTGACTTGTGATGTTTCTATTTTTATATTTAAGGCTCTTTTTAAGATTGTAGGTGCATTAGATGATCAGTGTAGATCCACTCCATTTGAACTATTCTATTCTAACACCATATATGTGAAGACATTCATACAGTGTAACCTGTTGGTGGGTTTTTATTCAGTTATCCAAAAATTCAGGCAAATAATAAATTTCTTTCATGTACTTAAATTGGTGACCACTAGTAACAGGAGAAATCACTGAAGACCTGTTCTAAATTCCCTGTTTTTAAAAAAAGCTAGAACTTTTTAATGTAGACTTACTAGTTAACAGTAAATTAACTTATTCTCAGTCTATTTTAAGATTATGCCATTGTTTTAAATGTAGTTGTTGGGAAAGAATAATATGGAAAGTTTATGTTGATCACAAGTTCTGATTTGTTTTTTTTCTTGCATACAAGACCTTACTTTGACTTGATGGGGGTGTGAAACTCCATAGGAGAGTAATTTTTACTGTCCTTTTTTTCTTTGATAGATCAAGATTTTTAAAAAACTTGTAAGTGCAAACAATATTTTCAAAAGTGAGTGTGAAAGGTTTGTTGCTTGTTTACATAGATTGTGATGTATTTATCTTTTCGAGATTATATGGATTTTGAATCACTGACAGTGTTTAATTAGGTTTTCTGTTAGCAGAATAGTGGAAGGTGACTCTCTTAATGAAAAAAGCCATCTTAGGGTTGTGAGGGCTGTTATCTATTGCTCTGCCAGTTTCTTCTCTGTTGTTTATGTCTAGAAATAATTTTGTAGATAAACAGTGTCTTCTTGAAGCCTTAAAGCTGAATAACCCTTGCAGGAAAATGTTCAGGTTTGCCAGCATCTGTGCAGGCTTGTATTGGCAATGGGGATATGGAGCATGCTGCAAATTGGGCTTTCTGGGCCTGTCAATGGTCTAAGTTGGCTGCTTAGTATGACAGGCTCAATTCCAGGATG